AACTATTGCAAAATCAAAGAATCTCAATGTACGTATCCATCATTAATTTCTTTAATATCGATTAAATTTAAATTGTTTGCAAAAGAGATATATCTCAATAATATATAAATCACATTTAAATTCACGACCGTTCATTATCATTTCATTTTTCTTAATTGCAAATTATTTATAATTAATACAAAAGTTAGATAAAAATCACAAAGAATCGGAAAGATCTCGTTGTTACAATAGTTTCTTGATAATAGATATATCATATTCATAAACTTTTAATCATCATTTTGTTTATCTCACATCTCCCCCTCTCCCTCTCCCTCACCATCCCAATTTCGTTTTAAAATATCATACAGAATAGTTTAAAACCTTTCGATAATTTTATAACGTAGTTCAACGAACCTATGCACGCACGTATACGAAAATGAACGTTTCGGTTGATGTTTACTGAAGCAAAAAGAAAAGTAAAAATTATCTAGTACGATTGGGGAGGGTTTTTAAAGACATCGAGGGAGAGGGTAAAGATCCCACGTGTTTGATTGCACAAGTAACTCGGCCGTCACTCTATTTTTACCAATACCGGCCGCATATTTATCTTGCACCTAACGCTTACGAATCTCATACCAACATGATGAGAAAGAGAGAGAGAGAGAGAGAGAGAGAGAGAGAGAGAGAGAGAGAGAGAGAGAGAGAGAGATTCTCAATAAACTTTCCTCTTGAATTTTTTTTTACCCCTTTTTATCGCACCAATATTACTTTTCCTATGACCACCCAGAAATCACTTCATCAACTTTTTTTCTTCCTTTTAATTTTTTTTTTTTTTTGGATGGAACTATTATATTGGTAAATTCAAATGTGACTTCTGGCTAGCTACTCGTGTTATCTAATATTATTTTTGTTTCTTTTCTTTCATGTTTTTTCTTTCTTCTTTTTTTTTTTAATTCATTGTCCATCCACGAGTTTTGCAAAACATGTTTTACGTCATACTCATCCTATCGCAAGTTCTTCATATTTGTATATGTAAATGAATTTCGTCGTCGTTATAAAATATTTTTTCTCTCTAAATTCGCAAGAATATTCTTATTTTATTTGTACATTGTGAAAGAATGAAATGCCGATTGTCAATCGATTAAAATAATTCGTTAAAAGGAATTACGTATGCGATCCTTGGGATCAGTGATCGTGTTGTTAATATTTAATAAAAAAGAAAGAAAAAACAAAGAAGATAAAGAAAGAATTTAAGAATTGTAAAAAAAGATGAAGAATTCGCTTTTGGATGGAAGCTTTTTTAAATTTATTCATTAACGAATCCAAGAATCCTAATAAGTAAGCACATAAAGACGAGTTAAACGAGATCTCTCGATGATAGAATCCAAGGACGTTTAAATTAATTTTCTTTCGTATTCTCTTAAATGATGTGTTTTTTTAAATGTAATTTATTAATTATAATGTAAGATATATTTGTGTTACAAATGATTATTAAAACTTTTCGTTAAATTGCAAATATGTTAAATGATAACAATAGTTTAATAAGATAAACATTAACAAATGTTATAGGAAAATTTTGAAATTGTGTAGATAGTCTCGTATAAACTAAACTAAACTGCATATCATAAGTGCATATGTAATATATGTATATTATTACTTTATTGGTTATTATCGAAGCAGTTACGATGAATCGATAGTACGATACACAGAAACATATATATATATATATATATATATAAATATATATTTACATATACTAATATATACGTAATACGTGTATACTGAATGACGTTAGAATAGCAAGCTGATCTTTTATCAGTGATTATCGTTGTCGAATTACGGTTAGACTAAAATCACTCGTCGTACTATTTGATCGATCGTATTTGTAACAATTGGCAAGCATAAAATATAAATAACATAAAGTATGTTAATTTGACGTTTGACAAATACGAATGATATTTTTTTTTTTTTTTTTTAAATATAGAATTATTATATCATATCATTTATATTCGAATAAATCAACAGTATTCAAAGACAAGATTAGTATGGAAAAAAATTTTTCAAGACCATCCTTGTTTTTGTCTTTTATACAATAGCATATTTAACATTAATTTCATAAATGTAACCACTTATTATTAATAGAAAATCTTTGATAAGAAATAAGAAAAATATGAGATACACGTGTTTCACAGAAAACATGCACGATAGTCGTACACGAACTAATGATTTCAAACGTATTAGAATACTTTCTCTCTCTCTCTCTCTCTCTCTATTTGATAAAGATAACTCGTAATCATGAACGTTTTCACTAGAGACGCGCAACAGGAGGCTGCTGTACCTAACGTCCGGAGTATAGTATAATACACAACATGTAACATGTAATACATTACATAGGGCACTCTTACAATGTTGTTGGTATCTAGTAATACATATATACATATATATAAAAAGAAAAAGAAGTACATAGAGTACGTATCTACACATATACTACTTACGTACATAAGCATATATATATATATACGTGATTTTTGCATGCGTCGGTTCACACGTACATGCCACACATTTGGGGCCCCCGCTGGTTAATTTAAGGCTATTACCGAGCCGTTGTGACTGGTTACGGGCAGTTAGCGTTCGCTTCGTAACATAAGCGTTACGATACGATGCTTTGGACGTTTGGCGAACAGTGACGATCGAATTCTCTCTTATGTTAGCGAGAAAAAAAATTCTCATTGCTATTTGCTTCAACCCTTTTTGTTTTTTTTTTTTAAATATATATTTGACGAAAAGTGACGATCGAGTATTATGTTAACGAGAATATCCTCATTGCTATTTGCTTCAACCCTTTTATATATATATATATCATAAAGATATAAATAATTTCTAGGAATACAAGATTACCCCCCTTCCTTCCTTACCCTGCTGTAATCATTAATCAATTCCCTCATTTGTTTTGACTTATTGTTTACGAGATAATATTTAGATAATATAATAATAGATGAAATAATAATATAGAAATCGATTACTCGATACTGTATTATATACATCATTTCGCAAGAGACTTAAATCCAACGTTCGATTTTACTTTAATATATATATATATGTGTGTGTGTATGTATGTAGATGAATGTATGAGTATATATCGTCAGAGATCAGTAACGTTGATCGATTGAAGTTACGACGGCCTTAAAGTTGGAGGCCTCGACCCTTCCTCGATAACCCCACTTCGAGCTATTTCAAATCGTACGGTATTCGACTTGCAATCGGGGACTGAATTAAGGCCGATCGCTTATCCGATACGCGTGCTCGTGCTTTCAATGTTGGATCCTTCCTCCTAACGAAATTTTATTTTGTTTTTTTTTTATTTTAATTTTCATCTTCCTTGACCCATACTAATGAAAATTATATAAAGGGGGAAAGTTAATAAGAAATTATCAAAAA